CCCGATAAGTCCCAAAAGGCCCCAAGAGGCAATCAAGAGGCTCCAAGAGAGCCCAAGATAGCACCTCCCAGACGGTCCCAAGATGGCCCAATCGAGCCCAAGAGTGCCTCAATAGGCTCCCAGGAGGCATCCTCCCATTTCTTCTTTTTCCTCCTTCTCCTCCTCTTCCTCTTCCTCCCCCACGTGTTCCCCAAAGGCTTTCCAAACCGACTCGGGGAACACATGGTCCGATAGCTTCGCCCCCCAAGATGCCTCCAAGACGGCCCAGGATGCCTCCAAGAGGGCCTAACATGGCGTCAATATTGCCCAAGACGGCCCAAGAAGCCTCCAAAACGGCCCAAGAGGCCTCCAAGAGGTCCTCCAGGAGGGCCCGAAGAGACCAACATTATCAAGTTTCCCTCAGTGTTTGACAAATGTTGGCACTTGTTTCTTCTCGCCACTCCGACGGCTCAAGACGGCCCAGAAGGCCTCTTCCTCGTCCTCTTCATGTGCATTCTCCCCCACGTGATCCCCGAAACCTTTCCAAACCGACTCGGGGAGCACATGGTCCGATAGCTTGGCCAAGCTCTAGCCCAACTCTCGGCCACACAGGCGTTTTCGAAAAGGCAGGGAGCCCAACGATTCGCCACAGAAGCACTTCCCAAAAGGCAGGAGAGGAATGTCTCCTGCCTTCCCCATCTAATCATTACATCATATATTCCTTCTCTTCTTCCTGTCTCACCCCTCTCCTCATCCTCGTCTTCCTCCTCCACGTGTTCCCCGAAAGCTGTGCAAACCGATTCGGGGAACACATGGTCCGATAGCTTGGCAGGCCTCTGGCCACAACGTTCGGCCACATCGGCGCTTCAACAAGGGCAGGGGGCGGCGATGATTCGCCGTAGGCGTGTTCGATCCGCCGCCCCCTCTTGGCTTGCCACAAGAGTGCCCGGCGTGCTAGATCCTTTCGATTTGGCTCTTGGCTTTTTCAAAAAAAGAACTCCCCCTGGAGCCTCGGCCGATCCCGCCAGGGTCCCGCAAAGGCTCGGAAACGACCTCAACGACCGCAAACAAGTCCCCAAGACGGCTCAAGATGGCCTCTAAGATGGTCAAGTTGGCCCAATACGGCCTCCAAGTTGGCCCAAGATGGCCTCCAAGTCGCCAAAGATGGTCCAAGATGGCTTCCAAGACGGCCCGAGAGAGTCCAAGATGCCTTCAAGTTCGTCCAAGGAGCCTCCAAGACGGTCCACAATGGCTCCAAGATGGCCTGAGACTGGCCAAGAGGCCCCCCACGAGGCCTCCAAGACGCCCTCAAGGAAGGCCCGAAAGGGCAAACATCATTGAATGTCCTTAGGTGTTCGAATGGTTTGGGCGTTTTCTTCTTATCTTGGGCGCCCGAGTTACCCCGGATGATTCGGGGCTCTGGGCGCCCGAGTTATCCGGGGTAACTCGGGTCCGGGGTGAGTCGGGTTCGGAATCCCGAGAAGCGAACCCGAGTTAGCCCTGACCCGAGTTACCCCTGATGATTCGGGGCTCTGGGCGCCCGAGTTATCCGGGGTAACTCGGGTCCGGGGTGAGTCGGGTTCGGAATCCCGAGAAGCGAACCCGAGTTAGCCCTGACCCGAGTTACCCCTGATGATTCGGGGCTCTGGGCGCCCGAGTTATCCGGGGTAACTCGGGTCCGGGGTGAGTCGGGTTCGGAATCCCGAGAAGCGAACCCGAGTTAGCCCTGACCCGAGTTACCCCTGATGATTCGGGGCTCTGGGCGCCCGAGTTATCCGGGGTAACTCGGGTCCGGGGTGAGTCGGGTTCGGAATCCCGAGAAGCGAACCCGAGTTAGCCCTGACCCGAGTTACCCCTGATGATTCGGGGCTCTGGGCGCCCGAGTTATCCGGGGTAACTCGGGTCCGGGGTGAGTCGGGTTCGGAATCCCGAGAAGCGAACCCGAGTTAGCCCTGACCCGAGTTACCCCTGGTGATTCGGCTCTGATGATCTGTTCTCCGACGGCCGAGGACGGCCCCATGAGGAGAGGCCCCAAAGAGAGCCCCAACACGACCCCAAGACGGCCCAAAGAGGCCCCCCAGACGCCCAAGATGACCTCCAGGGCAGACAAAATGGCCTCCAAGATGCCTCCAAGACGGCCAAGAAGAAAGCCTCCAAGACGGCGAAGATAACCCGAAAGCTCGGAAACCACCTGGTCCGATAGCTCGCCCAACTCCGTGTCCCCCGAAAGCTTTCGAACCCGATCGGGGAACGCGTGGCCAAGTTCAAACCCAACTTTCGGCCACGCAGGCGCTTCCAAAAAGGCAGGGGGCGGCGGTGATTCGCCGTAGGAGTCTTCGGTCCGCCGCCCCCTCTTGATTCATCACAGGTGTGCCCGGCGTGCTGAATCCTTTTGCTCTTGATGTTGGCTCATTTTCCAAAAGAACTCCCCCCCCGCCCGCCAGGGTCCCAGAAGGACTGGAAACTGCACATGTCAATGCCTGTCCCGCTCCAAGGTGGCCCAAGATAGCCTCCAAGACGGCTCAGATGGCCCGAAATGGCCCTCAAGTTTGTCTAAGATGATCGAAGATGGCTTCCAAGACGGCCCGAGAGAGCCCAAGATACCTTCAAGTACGCCCAAGAAGCCTCCAAGACGGCCCAAGACGGCCCAAGAGGCCTCCAAGAGGTGCTCCAGAAGGGCCCGAAGAGGCCAAAGTCATTGATTCTCCCTAAGTTTTTGAAAGATTTCGGCATTTGCTCCTTCTCGGCATTCCGACGGCTCAAGACGGCCCAAGAGGCCCCAAGATCGGTCCAAGATCACCCACGAGGCCTCCAAGATGGCCCCATGACGGCCCAAGAGGCCCCCAAGAGGGCCCCAAGAGGGCCCCAAGACGGCCAAGATGGCCTCCAAGACAACTCAGGTGGCCCCACGATGCCTCCAAGACGGCCCAAGATGCACCAAAAACAGCCGAAGATGGCCTCAAGATGGCCCCAGACGGCCCAAGGGCCCCCCAAGAGGCCTCCAAGACGGCCCAAGAGGCCTCCAAGAGTTCCTCCAGGAGGACTCGAAGAGATCAAAATCATTGATGTTCCTTAGGTTTTTGAAGGATTGCTGCATTTGCTCTTTTTCGGCATTCCGACGGCGCAAGCCGGCCAAAGAGGCCCCCAATGTCGCCCCAAGATCGCCCACGAGGCCTCCAAGATGGCCGCATGACGGCCCAAGTGGCCCCCAAGACGGTCCCAAGAGGGCGCGAAGAGGCCTCTAAGACGGCAAAGATGGCCTCCAAGACGGCTCAGATGGCCCCAAGATGCCTCCAAGACGGCCCAAGATGCACAAAAGACGGCCGAAGATGGCATCAAGATAGCCCAAGCCTGCCCAAGAGGCGCCCAAGAGGCCTCCAAGACGGCCCAAGAGTCCTCCAAAAGGTCCCCCAGGAGAAACCCGCAGAGATCAAAATCATTGATTGTCCTAAGGTGTTTGAAGGATGTTGGCATTTGCTAGTGTTCTGCATTCCGACGGCTCAAGACGGCCCAAAAGGCTCCCAAGATCGCCCACGAGGCCTCCAAGGTGGCCGCATGACGGCCCAAGGCCCCCAAGACGGCGACCTCCAAGACGTCCAAGATACTCTCCAAGACGGCCCTGAAGCGCCCCAAGAGCCCCAAGTCGGTTCAGAGAGGCCCCCGAGACGGCTTCCGACGGTGTCAGACGGATCGGGAACGCCCTATGACAGCCAAAGAGGCCCCCAAGAAGCCCCCGTAGGCCCAAGAAGCCCCCAAGAGGCCCAAGGAGGCTCCCAGAGGCCTCCAAAGGCTCCCAGGAAGCTCCGCAAAGGCCTACCAAGAAGCCTCGCAAGACGGTTCCCAAGAAGTCTCTTCCTCCTACTCCTCCTACTCCTCCTACTCCTCCTCCTCCTTCCCCATCATCCTCATCCTCATCCTCATGCTCACCCTCCTCCTAATCATCATCCTCCTCCCTCTCCTGATCCTCCTCCTATTGCTCCCCACGCGTTCCCCGAAGGAGACCGACTCGGGGAACAACTGGCCCGATAGCTTGGCCAAGCTCTAGCCCAGCTGGTGGCCACATAGGCACTTCCAAAGGGGCAGGGGGCGGCGGTGATTCGCCGTAGGCGTCTTCGATAACGCCAACGTCTCAATATGCGCTGATGATTCCGATCCGTCCCCGCATGATGTTCCCACGTGCGCCAAGGCAGCGCCGAGACGCACCGACGCGACTCGGATAGATCCCTTCCTGATAGAGAGGGTGCCGGCGGCAAGGGCGCAAAGACCTCGAGGATAATCACGCATGCGCAACATTCCCCAGCCAGACGGGCCAGAAGCGGTGCTAAGATCTCCGGGTGTTAGTTTAGGTGTTTCTAGTTCGCGCGCGCGGGGCCGCCCCTGGGGGTCCCCGAATCAAAAAGCCGACCGAGGAAACAGTGGTAGCGCGGCGCGAAGGGAAAGCCACAGGCAGAGAGCGCCAGGCCAGAAGGCGGCCAGCACCCGACCGGGTGGGGCGCGGACGGCGGCCGCCGTGCACCGACGTGCCACGGAGCGGTCGCGTCTCCGTCCAAAACGGGGCAGAGGCAGGGCCAGGCCGCTCCCAGGGCGTCGAGGAGAGCACGGCCGGGATCCACACACGCCCAGTCCCCGCCCCCTGTTTGGCACGCCCCCTGTGCAGGTCTGCCGGCAGAGGGGTCCGCGCACAGAGGCTCGGAGGATGGCGTCGGCGATGCATCGGCGATGCATCGGCGACGTCGGCGTCGAACGGTTTTTTGAAGGCAGATCTGCCTTCAAAAAATGGTTTTTTGAAGGCAGATCTGCCTTCAAAAAACCGTTATTACAGAATCGGGCTCAACCTCGCGCAGCATCGCAGATGCATCGGCGACGCGGCGCGAGCCTCTAACACCATCTGCTCGGGCCCCACTTGGGAGGCCGGGATCACGAGGACGCACCTCGCCCGATCCACGCAAGGCCTCCTCCCTCCTCCCTCCTCCCTCCTCCCTCCTCCCTCCTCCCTCCTCTCTCCTCCCTCCTCCCCGACATTACTTCCGTACCTAGTTGACCCATCGTACTGACATCGCCTACTGTTCGGGGAGACGTAAGACTCAGGTCCGGCCTGACGCAGCCGTCGGGCCGTCGGGAAAATGACGAGACACAGCCTGGAATCTGACACGAACCCCCGCCGCAAACATCCTACGACACGTGAAACCTTTGGGTGTCCCCCTCCCCCTTGCCCCTGCCCTGGGGACCACAATCCTCCCCTGGGGACCACAATGCCGCTGAGGCGGGGGGGGGTAGAACCGTCAAAAAGCAAGATGGGCCCGTCAGAAAGCGTCGGCAAACTGGGCAAACCCGAGCTCAGGCGAACTCGAGTCGCACTTTTCTCCGAACTGCGTTCGAGCGCGGCCCGCGGGGGGAGAGGGGGGGGGTAGGCCTCCGGCACGCGCATCGCCGCGGGCACCTTCTTCTCAAACTTTTTGAAGATCTTCCTGACCGCGGTGAGGTTCACCTCCACGAGGGGGGAGGAGAGGGCCTTGTTTGCAGGGTGTGGCCCACAGGTGCGGTGCCAGCGCAGGGCATCCGCGGCAGCTGGGGACTTCGCAGAGCGAAAACAATACCCACGGGCACCGCCGCCACGCAGTGTGCTCCAAGCGGGCGGTGCCTCTCGGTCAAAATGGCCACTCGGCATGCAGGACGACCGCCTCACCAATCGGGGAGGACCTCCAGCCACCCGAATTGGACGTCCAGGGCGAAGCCTCCAAACGGAGTCGGGGCCTTCGGCCCCGAACCGAGAGGCAACTTCGCCCCAAGTCGTGGGTGGTTTCCGCTCCAGAGGTGGTCCAAGCGGGCACGGGTCGACGAGCCGCGCTCGCAGTGCCCCCTGCAATCCACCGCTAGGAGCTGGGTATTATCGCGCGAGTGTGCTCCACACGACCTGCAGAAGGTGAACGGGCCAACGCACCCAAAGGCGGTGGCCTACGGCAAGCCGGCACGGGGCCTGCCAGAGCGTCTTGGCCACCTTGGCCACGCGCAGGCACCTTACGCATCGCAACTTGCCCCCAAACTGGACAATCTCGTGCTCTCCCGCGGGGGCATCCTCATCAGCCGTGAGCCTCGGGGGCGGCCGACGTCCACGGGTCTCGACATCCCGAGCCGACACTGTACTGGCAGGAGGGCCGACAGCTCGCAGGGTTCTACATATGTACTTGCACACATACGTAGACAGGCTGGCCGACTTCAACACTCGTTCGTTCGCCTAAAGGTCCTGGGGATGCCTGGACGCTCCGAGCCTAGCGACCTGATCAGCAAACTGGTTACCGAGTCGCCAGTACCTGGCGTCTGCTGACAGGTGGTCGTTGCGCACAAGCGCGTGACCCTTGACTTTGATCACTTCAACCTTCCCCCCGAAGATCGCCCACGCGCCCCCACACCCGTCCCCGCAGGTCGGCGCACATGCACATGCTGCCCGTCGTGGCCTCGCGGCCCTTCTTAAAGCTCGGGCCCACCCGATCACAGTCGGATAGGTAGCGAAAGGGCCCGAGCGAGACGTGGAGGAGGTACATTAGGAGCCCGAACAGCTCGGCCACCTCAGAATCCTGCAGGGGTCCACGGATGGGGCCCACACAGCGCGGCCGTGACATCTAAGCCGCCCCCCGAAGTTTGGACCACGGACCACCCAGCTATCTTCAGACGGGGCTCGCACGCAAGAATGGACCCGCACGACCCGTCGCCGAAAGCCTCACCCTCCAGGTGGCCTCCTGGGGGTCTCACCTCCCAGCTCACCTGAAGCTCCAGGGTGGGAGGCAGACACCACTCGACGGGGTCGGGCAGCAGACCGTGGCACCACAATGCCCAGTCCCCGCGGTCGCGCGCACCAGAGCGAAGCGATTGCGGCAGCATGTAATCTCGCCGATAGCCCCACGTGCCCGGACACGACCCCAAACACAAGTGCTCCACCGTTCCCCGCTCGAGGCCACACAATTCGCACCAAAGGCTATCGACGAGCCCCGCCTTCAATTTGCGAGTTCGATCCCGAGAAGGATGGCTGTTGTGGTGGAAGAGGGAGGAGGGGATGAAGAAGAGAGTGGATGAGGAGGAAGAGGATGAAGAGGAACGTGGAGGAGGGGAAGTGGGAGGTGGAGAAGGAGGTGGAGGAGAAGGAGGAGGAGTTTCAAGGATATCGGTGGTGGTGGACTGTGGAAGGGGAGCAGTGGTGTGGAGGGTGGAGAAGGGCTGAAGGGAGGACGGAGAGGAGGATGGAGAAGACCAGAAGGGAAATGAAGGGGGAGAGTGAAAGGGAGAATGGGGAGAAAGGAGGGAGCAGAAACGGCGCCCCTATTCCTCGTTAGTTTCCCCTCCGTTTCGCCCTCCCCTGATTCCCTTCCGACTTACCATCTGCCAAGGGCGATGCCACACATGTATGTGCGCAACGCTGAAGAACAAGTCAGACAATCTCGCGTGATACCCTGAACCCCGAGATTCAATCGAGACATTCCGCCTGGGAGCATGGTTTACAAAGCGGTATCCGCCACCGTGCCTCGAGGCACATAGTGGAGTGCCTAAAGGCTTACGCAGCTCTGAAAAGAAAAGTGTTGTGCCAAGGTTTCCCAGGCGATGTTAACGTATCTGGTGTGTTTCGTGCACCAGCCCCATCCAGAAGGAGGGCCCCCAAACGGGCCTACATTTCCCCAAGGGGCCCCCAAAGCGGTTCACGGGGGATCGCAGTCGCCCCAAGATCGTTCCCAGACGCCCAAGACGGGCCAAAGAGGCCCAACAGGCTCCAAGGTCACCCCGAACACATTGCCAAAAAGGCCCTGAGAGGCCAAAACTATTCACCAAACAGTGTTTGTACATACGGATTCGGAAATTCTCTTCTACGGAACCAAGCTAGTGTGCCGGTCTGGCGGCTGTGTTGTCGCCGTCGCCGCCCCGTCGCCGCCTCGTCGCCGCCCGTCGTCTGGGCCAGTGTGGCGGCGTAGCGGCTGAATTGCCGCCGTCGCAACCAAGGTGCCGCCTCGTCGTCGCCCATCGTCTGGGACGGCGTGGCGGTCTGGAGGTGATGATGCCGCCGTCGCCAACACATCGCCGCCTCGTTGCCGCATCATCAGTTGTCCCACGTAGAGTGCCCAGCACAAGTTGCTCCACATAGAATACACAACACATATTGCACCACGTAGATTGAACAACATAGGTCGCACCACATAGATAACGCCGCAGAAGTTGCACAAACTAGGTTGTACCACGCAGATTGCACAGTAGAGGGTGCACAACATTGATTATTATTTGCGTTGTAAATCCGGAAATCGTCCCCCCCCTGTTTATCCGCCCGCCTGTTCGTGTTGCAATGTGCACGCGGTTCTGTCCAATCGCCCATCCAAAACCTTAGCGCAGACCCTCCCAGTCAAGCCAGCATTCACACGCCCCCGCCATTTCATGTAAAAAACACGATGCGCGCGCATTCGTCAATCACATACCACTTGTTGCCAATAATCGCTCTGCACAGTAACGACGGAATGCACACACACACGTGCGTCGTCGCGCGAGCAACCCGCAATCATTCAAAAACCCAGGGCCCCGTGAGGATTTCTAACCCGAAAGTTCCGAAACAAACTATCATCAGCATGTGGCCTTGCAACATCAGTTGTCGAAAAAAATGCGTGCGTGTGTGTGTGGATGTGTGGATGTGTGTAAATATGTGTGGGTGTGGGTGTTCGTGTGCGCGCTCTCTTGCGCACTCTTTGTTTGAAAAGAAACTGTTTCCCAAACGTTTCCTCACATGCAGCCGAACGGGCCGTTCACGCGCGCATGCCGGAATCAGTCGAACGCCTTTGCGCGCGCGCGTGTTCGGGGGGGCACGATCATTGCTACTGTCATCGTCGCGTCTACCGTTTGTCGTAGTCGCAATTATACCGCGCCCGCCCAAATCACCGATTCGCATTGAAGCGCATGCGCGCCAACGCGGCGTGAGAAACGCACTTGGAAGTGCCCAGCGGTTAGCGCCACCGCGGTCGCCTCGGTCGCGCCAACCTACTTGGCCTACGCGCGCGCAGACATGCTAGCCAGCCATCGCAATCGCCGCGGCATGGGTTTGGCAAACCAAATTGCGGGTGGATGGGTAGGATGATTGCGCGAAGAAGGGACTTGGCAGTTCCAAATTTGTGTACAAACTAATTGCACCACATAAACTGCGCAACGCGTATTCCTCCACATCGTTTGGCCCACATGGGACGCACCGCAACCATTGCGCCGCATGAAATTGCACCACGCAGGCTGCACGGCATAGATCGCACCTCAAATGTTGTTCCACATATGTTGGCCCACTTAGCTTGCACCACATAGATGGCAGCATATCGATTGCTAATCGTAAGCTGTACAACGATCGTTGCACCTTGTAGGTTATCCTTTTTCCCGAAAGAGGATGCACAACTACCTTCCCAACTCTGGGGTTATAGTGCTGGCCCCGCGTACGTTCAATGTACAATCGAGTTTGCCCACCGTTCATTGTACATATGAACTTACGCCATCCCAAGCAGAACGGGTCCGACGCTCCCCTTTCATCCCTGGCAAATCAAAATATGCGCACACACGCGATTATCAACACTTACCCATGTCCATGATTCCCAAGACCAAACAATCAAAATCCGAACGCGCGCGACGTCGCGCGCGCATGCATAAATCCATAAAACAACCCCACGGGTCGTAACCCTTGGATTTTGGAAAAACCGTCCGGCATCTTTCAAAAACCGAGGGGGGCATTTCATGGAATCTTGTAACACACACTGGGTTTGCATCATGGTTGTCCAAAACACTCTGCGCGCGCCTTCTTGCGAATTCTCGCGGCAATGGCGGCCCTTCAACCTTTTCATCACATTCGACCAAGCGAGCTTCCCGCGCGCGCATCGAAATGGTTCGATCGCCCTTTCGCGCTTGCAGTGGGGAAGGGGGTGGCGCTATCCCTGCCAACAAGAACCGCGCCGGCCACTCGCGCCCGTCGGCCGCGCGCGCATGTCAAAATCTGTCCACAGCATGCATCACCGAAGCGCGGACACCATCATCGCCATCGGCGTGATCAGCACCGACGCCGTCAGCGGCCTTGCTGTCGTCAAAATCATCATCGTATCCAACGCCGATACCATCGTCACCGCGCGTATCAAAGTCATCATCGTACCAGGTGTCGACATCGCCATGATACCGCGCCCGCCAAGGCCGCCGACCCGCACCGAAGTGCCCTCGCGTCATCGTGGCCTGCGGGACGCGATGGGAAGTTCCCACCTGTCAGCACCACCGCGGCCGCGCCTGTCGCGCCAGAGTAGCTGGCCGCTCTTAGCGCGAGCCTGCGCGCGCTACTCGGCGGCAGTGATGCGCCAGCTTGCGCCGAGCAGCCATCGCAATCGCCGACGCATGGGTGTTGCAAGCCACGCCGGGGGTGGCTGGGTGGGATGATTGTGCGAGCAGTACGGTTAACAACTGCAAGTTCTTCAAAATTAAACGTATCGCAATCATTGCGCCACATAAAATGAACAACATATCTTGCACAACATTTGTTATACCGCAAATTTTGAACCTGATATGTTGCACCAGCTATGGATTGAATCACAGCAGGTGCACCGCATGTATGGTAACCTATTTATATATAGAGAGATATTGCATAACAGATGTTGTACCACATAGTTTGCACCACATTGGCTGCACAACACAAATTGAGCCACATCAATTACTCCACCGACTACAGACATGGTACCTTATAGTTTGCACCACATATCTTGTACATATATTGCTCCACACGTATTGACCACATACATGTCCCCACATAGATAGCTCCAGATATAATTCTGCGAAAACAAGTGTGCAGGGCCTACGCTGGCGAAAACTGTGTTGGCCTACGCTGGCTAACACGATTTCTCCCCATTTTACCCCCCAACGCTCCAAGACGGCCCCAAAAGCTTCCAATCGCGCTCCAGGACTGCCCAGGAGGCACCCAGGAGGACCCCAAGACACCCTAAGGGGGCCCCAAAACAACCCAAAAGGCTCCCACGAATGCCCAAAGGTGACCAAAGAGAGCCCCAAGAGGGGCCCAAGAGGAACTCGACGGGCGGACTAATGGGACGAGGCATGTCCCCTCCTGGCGGAGCAGCTGCGCCAGAGGATGGGAGTCCAGCGTCCAGCGTCGACCCAAGAACTCCGCGTGGACCTCCGATGATCGACCCGTCGGTCGTAAGAAGTGGGTAGAAACATGAAGCAGGAAGGCGATGAAGTAGATTTGGCGTCCGACCGCCCCCTGAAGAGGAGGGGAAAGGGAAAACCACTCTACTCTTGGAGTAGGAAGGCGGCTAAAGTAGATTGGGAGCTGGGACTCCACACCGACCTACTTTCAACGACCAGCGTGTATGTGTATCCCGGATTCGTCCTTCTAGGAACAGGGCAGCAGTGATCTCGGCCCTTCCTTGCGAGACTATTTCGCCCCATATGCCTTACTGATTGCTATGAGCCCAGAGAAATCGAGGGAAAACGCTGGGACTGAAAAATTCAGCTCAACCCGTTTCGACGGGGAAGCCTAATAATGAGAGGAGCCGAAGGATGAGGGGAATGACGCGGGGTCGAGCACACTGACCTGGAATCGAGATACATCGCCGACGGATCTGCGATGGGCCACCGATAGGGAAACCGAACGCTCCTTGGCAGTGCTGGGGTACCCAGGCCCCGTTCGGCGAAAAATGAGCGATCCTGGGCCGATGCTGTTAGGGACTTCCCCCTCAGCTGAGCCAGACCGCCCCCCAGACCCCAGATGCCGTATCTGTTCGCAACGTGGACCCTCAGACGTCTCGACCCACTCCCCGGGACCGGCTCTTCATCAACGGTCCCGAGGGCCCGGCGAGGCCTCAAAGGCCTCCCGTCGATACTCTGTTCACAGCGCCAGGGGGCGTCGGCACCCAGGGAAAACATGCGGCAAGCAAGAGCGGCAAGCATCCGAATCCCCGCCCTCGCGGTCTGGATTCCTGATTCTGGGCCGCGACCCCGCGGATGCTCGGCCGCACGGAGGATCACGTGCCGCGCGGGGCATCCACCAACAATCGCACCGCATAGGCGGGGTCGCGAACCCAAGGGCCAAGACAGTGCACGGCGGCGGCAAAACCGAAAATCGACAGACATGACAGAGAATAGGCGGCCTGGGAATGGGCACCAACACCAACACAGGGGGGTGCCTCCACAGGGGCAAGATGATCCTAGATGTCGATGTTGGTGGAAATACTTCGGTCACCTTGCACGCCAGAATATTCTCACCACCACCGAGATCGGGATCTTCTTCCCCTGGTGAATGCAACACCGCCGATATTGGTGTATCCGAAACCTACCGAAATTGACGGGCCGAAAGCAGCCTAGATTTTCAGAAGGGCGTAGCGATGCGGCAGCGACACAATGACCGACCGAACCGAACGGACCGAACGCAACCGACTGCGACGCAACCGAAGCGCATCCCTCAAGAACACGAGACCATCAGCTGGCCAAAACGCACAGAACATCCACCGGGTACACTACCCAAATAAGTTGAGACCGCGGCGCTGCACTCACGAACTCCGCCTCCTCCCCCTCCTCCTCCACCTCATCCTCCCCTCCTCCCCCTCCGCATCCTCGGTCCGCTCCTCCTCCTCCTCCTCCTCCTCCTCCTCCTCCTCCTCATCATCATCATCATCCTCATCATCATCATCATCATCATCATCATCATCCCCCTCCTCCCCCTCCTCCTCCTCCTCCTCCTCCTCCTCCTCCCTCCTCCTCCTCCTCCTCCTCCCCCCCCCCTCCTCTTCCTCCTCCCCCTCCTCCTCTTCCTCCTCCTCCTCCTCCTCCTCCTCCTCTGTGCTCCGCCCACGAGACAGGGGGCCGCCGCCTCGATGTACCGCAGCACCCCGTTCAGGGAGCCGGCGATGCGGCTGTACTTCTCCAGCAGCGCCGCCCGCGGCGGGGCATTGGGCCTGGCCTCGCCCTCCAGGTCGAAGAGCCAGTCAAGCAGGTCCTCTGCGCTTGTGCGCTCGCGCGCGACGTGCTGCTGCTCCCCCTCGTCTCGCCTCGCTTCGGCGTGAACGTCAATAGCACAGTCGTACATCGGCCAGAAGAACATGCTTCAAGAGCATGAGACCCTCCGCCGGCCATAACACCAGAACATCAAACGAAGAGCACTCGAGGGCACCCTCCCCCAGGATGCAGAAGGACATCCAGCAAACACGAAGAACATTAGGGTACCCTCCCCGAATCGACCTCGATCGTATACCTCCGTACGACTGTAGTAAGGTTGCATGTTGAGTATGCAAGGCCCTTGAAGTCCCGTTTACCATTCAGAGCCCCGTGGACGCCAACATTGGTTGAGGATGGGTCGAAGAAGCAGGGATGCAAGGGTAGTAGCCTTGATCGAGCAGCGCATCCTTACTATGGATTTTGACTGCAGCGTAGGCGAGAACATCGGGGGTCCCAAAACGGTGCGGTGACGGACCGTGCGGTGAGCTCGAAACCCTCGTAGACCTCGCCGCACGGTCCGTCACCGCACGGCTTTGGGGCCCAGGAAGACCCGCTCGCCCGAGCCATCCTCGGAGAGCGACCCGAATCCCAAACACCGTGCGGTCACCTCTCCGAGCGCTTGGATTCCGGACCATGACTCAGGCCTCCAGCGGCCGATTAAGACGAGCCGGGCGGCCCCGGAGCGCTCTCGGCGAGGCGCCGCTGCTGGAGAGCACCCCGAGGCTGGAACGCCGCCGAGAGCCGACGAAGACTGGAGAAAACCTCGAACTTGTTTTCTTGGCGGCGCGCACGAGGGGGTGGGGGGGGGGAGGGAGGGCTTCTTAGGAGGAGGCTGCTTCTTAGAAGGCGCCGACCTTACGTCTATAGGTAAGGCCCGCGCCTTCTAAGAAGCTGGGGTGCTTCTACGAAGCCCTCCCCCTCCCCCCACCCCCCCCTGCGCGTGGCTGAGTTTTCGAACTCACCACACGGTGTGGTCACCGCGCCGCTTAGGCCCCCCCCCCAGAACAGTGTCATGCTACGCTTGGCCCAGGGCACGCTCTGGGAGCCGCGGAGCTTCCGGCGGCTCGCTCTCGGCCGTTCGTCTCTGGCAGGACCAGTCAGCCTGGACTCGGGAAACCGCATCGCGTCGACATGTGCGTCGGATCGGGCTGCATCGGCGCGGAGTCGGGATCGAATCGGATCGGCTTCGCGAAGATGCACAACAACGCCATGCAAACGGCGGGCCGCATCGGGTCGTAGGAGGATCGGAATCGAACCAAATCGGGCCGGCCAAAATCGGTGTCGAATTTGAATCGATCGAATGGGAACGAAATGAACCCTGCTCTGGCCGCGCAGGACACCGAGAAACCCGGGAAGTCCTGGAGCGTTCCATTACCATCACCCCTCTGATGGTGGGAGCACGCTCCGGCGCGCACCCATGCGCGAGAGCCGAATCCGGATGCCAGCGGCGCACGCTCCCTGGAGGCTCCGCGGCTCACGGCTCATGCCGCCATTGCACAGTCTCGCATGCGAGCTTCACTGCCTTTTGCTCTCGCGGGCGGGCACTGACGTTCAGACCTCGAAGCAACTGCACCTTCTCGCTCAGGGAGGGGCCCCATGGGTCACCAAGGCGTTGTCGATCCCCCCTCACATGAGCACTTTCGCGGGCCTCGTCACGGCCTGCGCGCGCGGGCGGGTGGACGGCATGCTGCTGCCCTCGTTTTACGGTGCCCCGCCATTGAGCACCAGTGCTCGTTGCGTCTGGAGTAGCAGCGTCAAAGAGAGACGATACCATCACAACAGGGCCGACCTGCGCAATGTGGGTTGAATGGAACGGAATGGAGGCAACAGTATGGCAGGTTCGCGTCGTGACGACCCGGCCGTTCAACCTTGAACGATCGGCCGTTTCCAAAACGTCCAAATCGTTCCACATCGACCGACTCTGGGTCGCCCGCGGCGCTCAACGTTGAACGCCGCTGGCGGGGTCGCCGCCGGTCGACACGACACGAACCTACCGTACATGAAAAAAGGGGTAGCACACGTGGGAGTCCAGCATGATGCCTTCCCCCTCCCGAAGATGCGTTTCCCTCAGAAGCCCTCTCCTCCATGCGATGCGACAGTAGCGGCCTGCGTGCGAGGCTTCCTCGCGCCCACCCTACCGAGACCGCGAACCAACGGCCACTCTGGCGAAAGGCCACGCCCGCTGTGGGGCCATGCCTCAGGAATCCAGCGGCCATTCGGGACGATCTGGGCAACCCCGGGGCCGCGCTCGGTCTCTGGAGCCGACGAGGCCGCCCGAGAACGCTCCGCCGCGAGCCCGCCTGCGGCACCTCGCCGCGCGAGGGCACCCAGGCATCCCCGTGGCGCTCAGGGTGGGCGAGAATGATGCCACGGCAGGCTTGGCTCAGGATGTGTTCGATGGACTCCCAGAGCACCGAGCGGCCCTCGACTCTGGAACCCCTCTGCGGGACCACAGAAAATACGAACTGAGAATCTTGAAACGCATCGTTGTCATGACTTCGTCCTCCTCTGACCCCCACGACACATCTGACGGCGTGCTGCTGCTCAGTGCGCGCCCCCAGCTCGCCATTGCTCGGACGGACGTCCATTCCCCGTGCATGTTTCGATTCCGTACGAATATTTGTTCGCTGGATTATCCACCATGTTCCTCGATTAACCTCGGCGAGAAAAAAACACACATCCGAGCAATGCCAAACCAAATGTCTCGCCTGGACTCAAAAAAACATCAAATCTGTGAGACGCACTGGCCCCGGTCGATGCAAGCCTGGGTCAGTCGGGCCTTGCAAGGTCCTGCAGGGTCCTGCACCCGAGCCCGGGTCAGTGCACCCCTGGCTCAGCAGGATCCTGCGAGATCTGGCGCTCTGACTGACCCCTGTTTAAACTGACCCCCGTCTCTTGAACCCCGAGCATCGTCAGAAAACATGGGTTTTGGGGGCCATGCCGTCTTTCGCGACGATCTGGGCACCCCCGGAATGCTCTCGGCGAGGCGCAGCTGCTGGAGAGCACCCCGGGGGCCGGAAAAACCGCCGAGAACCGACGACGACACCAGACTTCCTCGAGGACCAACTGCCCGATTCAGAAACACCGTAATTATCGCCTGGGCCCACTGTCCGCAAGGGGAGCCGCGCGGCGCGCCCCTGGCCCGCATCCTGGCGGTTCTGTGGCTGGAACGGGAGGTTGGAGGCCACGTCCTCCGCACGCTGCCCAGAGGGGGGGGGGTGAGCCAGCGCCAGTTTTTCTCTCCGCCCCACCCACCCCCGCTCCTCTTCCTCCCTCCTACTGCTCCTGATCCTTGACATCGCCCCGATGATGATCCTCCTCCTCCTCCTCCTCCTCCTCCTCCTCCTCCTCCTCCTCCTCCTCCTCCTCCTCCTCCTCCTCCTCTGCCTCCTCCTCCTCCTCCTCCTCCTCCTCCTCCTCCTTCTCCTCCTTTTTTCGGCGACCCGGGGGAACGCGCCGATGGCGGCCAGATCTCGGGCCACGTACAGGCCCCGAAACCCTCTCGTGTTCCGCGCTCACGCCTGTGCGGAAAGAGCCGACGCCGAGAGCACATGCCCGCGCGCAGGTGAACCAGCGCGAATGTTTGCGGCAGAGATTCGCTTCACACATCCGGGCCCGACTGCCCCGGCATCCCGTCTAGGCCGACCACTGCATATTTCTAAAACCCCCGAATGTCTTCATCACGACAACGATATACTTGGGACGTATAGTTACACCCCGACGTCCTGAAGGCTGCGCGCGAAAGTGCTGTCCGCGAACGCGCGAAACCCTCAAGAACATCGGCCAGCCGCGCCATCAACGAACCTCTCATTCTTTCCAGCACGCCACCCCGAGTCCAAAGGCGCAAGCATCGACAGCCACGAATGCATATGTCGTGGCGCGCACGAACGGACCTGAATCCGGCCCTCCCATCTGATCGCCAAAGCTCGTTGGGGGAACGACGGGGGGGGCGCCGGCTCCCGGCATTTTGCCTTGTTCGTGTCAATGATTGCAAGTTTTCCCGCAACAATTTCCGATCGCATATCAGGGCCCCGTAGACCCGGACACGCTAGATCCGGACACCCAACATCCCTTGAAACCAAATTTCCCAAAAGGCGGCACGAACAAAATACAGCACTGCAGCATCTCCAGAATGAACCCGGACACAGGCCTCAAAAGCCTGCAAGACCCCCCTAAGCCCGGACACAAACCCGAATCCTGCAGCGCAGCAATCAAAACATGCACGGATGCTGAAAAACGTGACCTTGCAGGAAAGGATGTCGTTTCCTTGGGTTTCCGTGTCCTGGTTTATCTGTGTCCTGGTCTCCGGGGGCCTGAGCATATTGTGCGCATGCCGAAACGAACGTCAGTGGAGCCAGCTCCCTGCATCCGGACATCTTACAAATCAGTTCATCATGATTTTGCTTTGCGGTCAAACGCATGGCTGCTTGAGAACACGATGTATGTCCTAGCGGAAGCCATAGCTTTTTGACCCGATCATCCATGGCAAGAGCCGACAAAACAGCCATCGCGCAATCCTCGTCGCGCGCGCTCCCGTGCGTGACCTTGGCACGCCAGCGCGACCTCCTGGAATCCCGAATGGCCACGGCTGGGGGCTGCGATCGGCCCATGTTGGAGGGAAACCAGCACTCTGGCACCGTGCACACAGAACCGACCCGCGCTGGGTAGTGCCACAGCGTTTGGCATCGCGCAGGCCGTGGCACTTCGATGAACTCCTGCGCTCACGAGGGCAGCGGGTATGGTGCCCGCGGTGGAAGCAGGGGCGACACCGCGGGGGGATCGCAGCGGCGCCGATCCCCAAACACCATGCCGTCTGCAGGACTGCCCCCAAGGACCGGTCCTGCGTCTGGGATTTCCGGAACGTCCGCGGTCGACGGGGATCGCAGCCGCGCCTCGGGCACCCCCCCAGGGCTGCGGCGCGGGCGCCCGCGGTATCGCACCCTGGTGCTCGAGCTAAAGGGACGATGGAGGAGGAGGACGGGGAGCAAGAGGAGAAGGAAGAAGCAGCAGGAGGAGAGGGAGGAGGAGGAGGAGGTGGAGGAGGAGGAGAGGAGGAGCAGGAGGAGAAAAAGGAGGAGGAGGAGGCGGAGGAGGAGGAGGAGGAGGAAAAGGATGAGGAGGAGTAGGAGGAGGAGGAGGAGGAAGGAGGAGGAGGAGGAGGAGGAGGAGGGAGAGGGGGAGAACCAGCAGCAGCAGCAAAAGCAGTGGCAACAGCAGGAGGACCAGAAGCAAGGAGCAAAGAGCTGGAGGAGGAATAACAGCAAGAGAAACATGAGCAGGAAGGAAAAACAACAACAGCAACAGCAGGAGCAGGGTGAGCAACATCAGCAACAGCAGCCTGCATGAGGCTCGAGGAGGACGAGGGAGGAGAACCTGGACGAGAACGAGGAGGACGAGGGAGGAGGCGGAGGAGGACAAGGAGGAGAAGGAGGAGAGGAACAGGACGAAAAAAAGGAGCAGGAGGAGGACCGAGGAAGGCTTGTTTGGTGGTGCAAAACACCTATGGACTCATGGCTGAAGCGCAAGCTTGACGCAGCTCGAGTATCGCAACTGATGGGTAATAACTAACCTAGCATGTCTCTTTTTTTGCCACCGTCCAGATCGCTCGTTTCCTCATCCTTGGAACACCTCATGCAAAGCGAGATATGACTTTTGTACGTTAAGCAGCGACATAATCAGGCAGACGAGACAGGAGAAAGGAGGGGCAGGGAGGAGGAGGAGGAGGAGGAGGAGGAGGTGGAACAGGGAGTGGCTGGCCAATACCAGCTGAAAACTAACATGGCGCACGTGGGAACTTGCCCCCGCGCCCCTACGCGCGCGCAGGATAGACGCGCGGGCACCGAAGATGCACCAGGGCGCTGCGACCTCGCAACGAAAACAACTTTGCCTTCGCCATGTGGGCCGCATAATCGCGAAAACATAAAACCTGGGAGTCTAAAATCCTAGATTGGCAGGTGGCCAAAGCGGCAGACGGGAATGCGACGTCGGCAAACGGAAATGCCTAACCTGCGCCGGGCCTCAAACCTGAAGCCCCACAGCGGGAAGGCGCGCAAGCGGGGCGCGAAGCGAGCGAGAACTGCCGCCGCAGATGGCGCGCCCCCCTCCGCGGACAGCCAGCGGGAGCGCGGAGGCAGCATGCTCAGAAGTCGCGCCGGGCCCCGGCGAGGGGGCCTCAGCACGACGACGCCCAGCTGCGAGCCCGCCGCGAAAACCGCGGGCCGTCGCCCCTGCAGCGGCCCACGGAGTCTTCAGTCGCCGTTCGCCCCTGCTGAAGCGCCGGGGAGGGGCGCCCGGGCGCGATGTGCAGCTGGGCGCCCCAACTGCCCAGGCAAAGCGTTGCTGCCTCGAGCTGCGCGGAGACGGAGGCGCGTCAATGTCGGCTGGCGCCGCTGCAGCCAGCCTCGCGCAGCTGGGCCGCGACTCCTGCGCGGGAGCTGAAGCCCGCAGGCGGCGAGCCACCCGACGCCGCACGGGCGGGGAAAGATGCCGAACGCACTCAGAGCCGCAGCGCGGAAGGTTGCCCGCCCGATGATGCCACCGCCGCCAGCAGCGGAGGAGACAGACAGCCCTGGCCACGGCGAAGGCGGCAGCAGCAGTGACAGCAACTCCCCCAACGCGTCCACGCTCCGCAACCAATCTGCGAGTGCCGCGCAACCGGCTGGACCCCCGAGTGCACCGCACCCAGTAGAGGCCCGTCGCGGGCCCGAAGGCGGCCCGCGCGTTCACCGCGCCACCTGAGGTTGAGCCCCACTACCACCCGAGCTACATCCACGGCGAGCTCTTGCAGCGCTTGGGCGAGCACGCGTGGGATTTGCACGACGGGCCGACCAGCCTGCCTCGATTCCCCGACAAGTCGCTCTCCCAACGTCGCGGAGCGTTCGTGGCCGGCGCGAGGGGCGACGACGACGAGGAACCCGCGCAGCGCGAAACGCTGAGCACATCGCCCGCGCCCTGTCCTCTTGCGACACGCCGGGAGCGAGCGCGGAGGGCGGGGGCCGCGGGCAGCCACTGTCCAAGCGCGCGCGCCAGCGCCGGCGGGGCCGCCGCGGGCCTGCGCCTGGGGCCGCTCCGGCGGAGCGCCAATCCCCCAATCGCACCTGGGACAGAACAGCGCCCTTCAGGACATGAGACGCTCCGCCCGCAAAAACATACAGGAAAGCCAAAGTAGCATTCCCAGGGTGCGCAATGACATCTCGCAAACGCGATGACCATCGGGGCACCCTCCGCGAACCGACCACGATTTAATACCCAGGACCGACCGTGCGCGCAGCAAACCTTCCATTCACCCTCGCACATCTCGCCAAAGCCCCAGCTGTCGTCACCGCTCGAAGCCTGCCGCCAGGAGCGCGGAGTCCGCGCCGCGCCAGGAAAAGCGCCGCACCGCCAGAAGAGGGGGCGCCGAGGTCGCAGGGGCGCTGGACTGCCAGAGAGGGGTGCTGGGCAGTCCCCACCTCTCCCTCATCTCAATGCTCGCGCCTCGCATGTACTCTCCGCCCAGGCTTCCCGCGGAATGGCTTCTCGGTCCACTTCGCGCCCCGGGGGCGCCTCGACAACTTCTCCAGGAGCGCCTCGTCGCCCCGGCACGGCGGGGCGACGCCGAATGAACGGGGCGGAAGGGGGCGGGCGGGGCGCGGCCGAGCGGGGCGGGGCGAGGGGCGAAAGGGGCAGGGGGGGGCGAACGGGGCGGGGCGAAGCGGGGTGTCTCAGCAGACCTAGACCCCGCCAGTGACCCCGTCGTGCCATGGGCGAATCAGAACGGGGGCCTGCGCGCATTGGAGGACGGGGCGCTGCAAAGGAGAACGCCGCGCACTCCGCAGGGCGATCGCGCGCTGAGAGGGGAAGGGGGCCCACGAGAGCCGACGCACCCGCCCGCGCCAAAGACCGCCCGCAAGCCCGCCAGCAAGGCTCGGGGCGGGGGCGGGCAGAGAAAGCAACGCCAGGCAAGGCGGCGGGCCCACCCCGGCAAGAATTCGCCGCCCGACGCACGCGGAGCCCGCAGGGCGGTGGGGAGGGCGAGAGCACCCAGACATGCGCACATAGAACAGAGAACGAATAGAAAAGACAAATGTACCATCATATCCAAATCCAGGCGACCTCAGGGCCAGAAGTCCGGGGGGTCGGGGGGCAGGAATAACCCTGCCCTTGCGCGCCCTTCGCCAGCAGGACGGTCGCCATCGCAGAACGGCCTACGATTGCGAGCAGCTCGTTCGGTCTAGCAGCACATGGGCTGCAATTATTCCAGAACTAAAGGAACCGCAACTAATGCGTAACGCAGCATGTCCAAGCGAGACTCAAGAGCGGCGACCACGCGCAATCATGTGCCCCGCACTACCCGACGCGGACAGCTGCGCGGCAGGAGCCGCGGCGTCAGCCAGGGAGGGCATCCCAAACTCCCTCCTGCCGGCTGCGCTATGGACCTCATATTGCACGAGCGCTCGCCCATCCCCATCGGGCGCAAAAACCTGCCAGGACGAAGAGAGGCCAGCTGAGCCTGCTGATCCACCCACGGACATGATCAAAGAGAGCCTTGGCCCGAGGTAAGTCACGCGATCGCCCGATCACGTCGCGAGGGCCGAATCAAGAGAGAAGGCGATGTGGACCCTGGGCAGCAGTTGTGGCCGCGCGCCCCACACTTCACACGCGCACAAGACGCGGCCCACCCAGGACGGCGAGCGCCGCGCGGAGCGCCGGCGCCCAGTGTCGCGGCCGAAAGAGATGCGCTCCGACGACCGCCCGACTCGCGAAAGACCCGGTGGCGTCTCTCAGCTGATGAGCGGCGAGCGGACAGAATCGAGGTCCTGAGACGACGGCGTCCTCGAGGCGCCCCAAGAGCCCACCAGATGCCGAAACCGCGATGCCGCCGTCGACGTGCTTCTCGAGCCCACCAAGGCCACTCCAGACTTGAACCCAGTGCGTTCCGCGGAGCCTTGACGACGCCCCTGGGCGGCTCAGGATGAGGAGGAACGGGATGACGAGCAACTCTGTCACAGAGGGCCTCCAAACGCACCCCCTCTGTCACAGAGGGCCTCCAAACGCACCCCCTCTGTCACAAAGGGGCAACATGATCACTTTAATGCGGCTTCTGGATTAGGGGCCTGAGCTAGCCGCCACGCGTTCGGCCTGGGCCATCGATGGGTTCTCGCGCGGCAGAAAGATTGACAAGCATCCGCAGGGCGAGAGACCGCGGGGGGGACCTGCCCCGCCCAGCTTCCCCCCGCCCTGCCAGGCGACCGGGGGGGCGCTGACGAAGCCGAGCATGTCCCCGCGATGCGCTGCAGGCTGCGCGCTTGCCATGTGCGGCGCGCGATGTCGCGCAGAACGCGGCGTGGCTCGACGCGGCCAGGCCTGCCGCCGCGCCCATGCGCGCCCACAAAATCGCGCGCGCGCGGCCCCGCGCCCGCGCATTCTGCCCGCGCGCGCCCGCCTGAGCAATCGCGGCGACGCCGGCCCGAAGTCGCTGCGCGCGGGGCGGGCGAGCGCGATGCCCCCGCGGGCTGACACCTTGCAGGGGCACATCCCGCGGCGGGGCGCACGCGCTCATTTCCATCTGCTCGCCCGAAAAACCGCCGCGGAGCCCCCCATCTAAAGAGAGGCAGCGCCGCGGCTTCACCGCCGGAATAGAGTCCTCACACATGAGGTCAAGTCGACCGCACAGCGCGCCAGCACCGTGGAATCTGCTGGCCGCGCCCCCCCCCGCGGTGCCAGTCGCGGCCTGGGAGGCGACCCTCAGTCCACTACGAACGGTACCTCCCCATGGGCGCCATCGACGTCATCGCGAGGGCAAGCGTCTGGCAGAAGGGAAAAACACCGAAAGTCCGTCGACTCGCCTCGCCTGCTGCGCTCTTGGCCGAGACCCCGCTGCGACTCGAGGAGGGAAGTGCTTCCCCGGCGGGGCACCTCCGACAACCTCGGGGCCGTGAGTCGCCGCTGCCAGAGAGTCGGAGGCGAGAAAGTAATCGATGCGCGTCTCACCGTCTGTCTCGGGATCGCCATGAGCCCCATCCGGCGCCGCGACGGCCCCCCCTTCAGGCGCCCTGGGAGCGCGCGCTCGATGACCTCATTCGAGAACAAATTCCAGCCTGCGCCGATGACGAACGGGGCCCGTCAGAAGGAGACAGACGTCGACCGACGCTCTGGATCGTTGAAGACTCGGCGCCGCCAAGCGCGCGCCCCTGCCCGAGGCGGAGAGAAAATGGAGAGACGCGGAGAGAGAGAGAGAGAGAGAGAGAACAAAGAGAGAGAGAGAGAGAGAGAGAAAAAAAACAAAAAAATACAACAAAAGACAGAGACATGGAGAGAGAGAGAGAGAGAGGGAGAGAGAGAGACCCCCCCAAAAAAAAGACAATTATCCTGGCGAAGGACCCAACCATATGCAATTGTGAATACTGCAATTGTGAATATCTTCTCGGTGGAGCCCCCTACGGGGCCACGAAACGTACGACGGGTGTGCCGAAATGGGTGTGCGGGACGCATGTGGGCACACCCACTGGGGCCTTCGGTGGAGCTCCCTATGGGGCCACGAAACGTGTGAGGGGTGTGCCGAAATGGGTGTGCGGGGCGCATGCGGGCACACCCACTGGGACCTTCGGCGGAGCTCCCTATGGGGCCTCGGAACGCGTGAGGGGCGTGCCGAAATGGGTGTGGCTGACGCATGCGGGCGCGAGCACTGGGGCCTTCGGCGGAGCTCCCTATGGGGCCACGAAACGTGTGAGGGGTGTGCCGAAATGGGTGTGGCTGACGCATGCGGGCGCGGGCACTGGGGCCTTCGGTGGAGCTCCCTATGGAGCCACGAAACGTGTGAGGGGTGTGCCGAAATGGGTGTGGCTGACGCATGCGGGCGCGGGCACTGGGGCCTTCGGTGGAGCTCCCTATGGAGCCACGAAACGTGTGAGGGGTGTGCCGAAATGGGTGTGGGTGACGCATGCGGGCGCGGGCACTGGGGCCTTCGGTGGAGCTCCCTATGGAGCCACGAAACGTGTGAGGGGTGTGCCGAAATGGGTGTGGGTGACGCATGCGGGCGCGGGCACTGGGGCCTTCGGTGGAGCTCCCTATGGAGCCACGAAACGTGTGAGGGGTGTGCCGAAATGGGTGTGGGGACGCATGCGGGCGCGGGCACCTTCGGTGGAGCTCCCTATGGAGCCACGTGTGCCGAAATGGGTGTGGGTGAATGCCGGGCGCATGCGGCACTGGGGCCTTCGGTGGAGCTCCCTATGGTGTGAGCCGACTGGGCCTTCGGTGGAGCTCCCTATGGAGCCACGAAACGTGTGAGGGGTGTGCCGAAATGGGTGTGGGTGACGCATGCGGGCGCGGGCACTGGGGCCTTCGGTGGAGCTCCCTATGGAGCCACGAAACGTGTGAGGGGTGTGCCGAAATGGGTGTGGGTGACGCATGCGGGCGCGGGCACTGGGGCCTTCGGTGGAGCTCCCTATGGAGCCACGAAACGTGTGAGGGGTGTGCCGAAATGGGTGTGGGTGACGCATGCGGGCGCGGGCACTGGGGCCTTCGGTGGAGCTCCCTATGGAGCCACGAAACGTGTGAGGGGTGTGCCGAAATGGGTGTGGGGGACGCATGCGGCCGCGGGCACTGGGGCCTTCGGTGGAGCTCCCTATGGAGCCACGAAACGTGTGAGGGGTGTGCCGAAATGGGTGTGCTGAGCGCGAAACGTGTGAGGGGTGTGCCGCGCATGCGGGCGCGGGCACTGGGGCCTTCGGTGGAGCTCCCTATGGAGCCACGAAGCGTGTGAGGGGTGTGCCGAAATGGGTGTGGCTGACGCATGCGGGCGCGGGCACGAGGGAGGAGGGGGAAGAGGAGGAGAGGAGAGGGGAGGAGAGGAGAGGAACGCGGGGCACCGTCTCTTCAAAACGAGGACCCAACACCACAGGATGGTTGGGAAATAAAAAGACAGAGGGAAAGAGAGAGAGAGAGAGAGAATCACAAAAAAAACGCATCAACAAAAACCAACAACGAACAACAAACACAAATACTGCGACGAAACCTCGGCGAGGCCCCCACGCAAATGCATGCAGCGACCCCTGCCCTTGGAATGAGACCCTCCAGAACGCCGTCGAAGTGCGCAGGGCCAGGGCGTGATCCAACGGGGGTACCCGCCCCTCCCAGGTACTCGCCACCCTGCCCACAACGCAGGATTGCAACAAACCCTGGGTTTTTTTTGCAATCCTGGGATTTTTTGCAATCCTGGGTTTTGCAAAAAAACATGTTTTTTTTGCAATCCTGGTTTTTGTTTGCAATCCTTCGCTTTTGAGGAGAGGTCGCCAGCCACGTTTGACACTCCACCTTCAGCAGAGGGGCGAGGGCTCCCGGCGAGTGGGATGCCCTTGGAAGGCGCGCGACGGCGACGTGCCTGGCAGCTGTCCAGGATGCCGCGTGGCGGCGGGATGATGTCAATAAAACCGAAGGAAGACATATATCCTGGCGAGCCGCTGCTGGCTCGGAGCCTGCATGCTTCCACTGCATGTCGCCAGGATGTGAGACTGCACTGCCAGCACCAGGAGGAAGCATTTGACATTGTCTTGGGGACCTCCAATGCGTCTCCCCGAACTCTGTCTCGAGATCGGCGGGATGTTTCGCGATGCCGGCGAACGCAGCTGGTGCATTCCCAGCTGGCACACCAGAGGAACAACCAACGCGACGGTCTGCAGCGTCTGCATAGCCTCCACTACGTTTGTGAATTATGACCCAGGAGGTGTGCTCTGCGTGCCCACGACATCTGAATGGGCGGTGGCAACCTCCAACTTAATGGAGCCCCAGTGGCCGTGTCCTGCTCGGTGCTCTTGGCGTCAACCTGTTCTTTGAAGCCCGCGACATGCCCAGTGAAAGCGTCTACCTCCCGACCCTTGGAGTTCTGCCTGCCCCAAACCCGTCCTAACATGTCATTTGGAATTGTCCTTGTGTGTTCAGCGGCCTCTGTAACTGAGAATGTATGGCCAGTGGCGATGGCCAACCCATGCTCCTCCCCTAAGCCTCACTAGCGCAAAGCTCACAGGGCCTTGCGCGCCTGCGCGACCTCGCGACTGATTTCGTAACGGCCTTCCGTCGGGCCCGGTAAGAAGATGGTGCTCTGTCACGCGATCCTTTCCTTTGATCGGGCGGCCCTCGCGGATCAGCCTGACATTGTTAAGCCCCGTCCAGACATGTAGCACCGTTTGTTGTGGGCGGCATTGCGAGTGCAACCGCATCAACGAAAAAAAAAAAAAAAAACGCAGGCCCATCGCAAGTTGCTCGATTCATTCCCGCGCCCCTTCGAACCATTACCCATTGAGATGGTCCAATGGCGCAACGAAAAAATGCCGTGCCGTGTCAAATCGAACGCGATGCCTGGGTGCACGGCGTCTCTACCGAAAGCGTCTGTGCCAGGCTGGGGAAAGTGACTTCGAACGTGCCGTCGTCCAGGGCAGGCAAACTCAGTTTGGACGTGAACCCACACAGTGGCCGCCCAACGACGCAACCTGCACAATGCTGCGCTAGCTCAGGCGAAACCGCTCCAGCCCTTCGCACGCGTGGACTGGCAGGTGGGTGTGCGGTATCGGGGGCTGCCTGGTTCGGCCTGCACGGGCGGGACCGCACACGCACCAGGCGCCTGCTCACAGGCACTCGACCCCTGCGTACATCCTAGCGTACATTCGAAGAAGAGGAGGAGGACCAGGAGGAGGCGGAGGCTGCGCAGGAGCAGGAGGAGGAGTAAGGAAGAGGAGCAGCAGCCCGCCCTCTGGGGCCGAAACCGAACAAAGACGCCGCGAAAGAAAACGAGGAACAAGACCGAAATATGCGGGGGCACGCTGGCAGCGCGAGCGGGCCCGGCGGGCCGCCATGTCCTCCAGCTGCTCGGGGGTGAGCAGCAGCCCCGCAAGCACCGCCGAACTCTGCCACTCGCCCAACGCCGCCTCTTCGGGAGGGGAGGACGGGGGGCGGCCGCGCGGACCTGTTCCCGCGCCTCCTCTTCCTCCTCCTCCTCCTCTTCTTCCTCCTCTTCTTCCTCCTCCTCCCCTTCCTCCAGTTCCTCCTCCTCCTCCTCCTCCTCCTCCTCCTCCTCCTCCTCCTCATGTTCCTTTTCCTCCCCCTTTTCATGTTCCTCCTCCTCCTGCCCCTCCTCCTCCTCCTCTTCCTCCTCCTCCCTGCTCCTCCTCCTCCTCCTCCTCCTCCTCCTCCTCCTGTCGCTGTCGTTGTCGTCGTCGGTGTCCATGTTCGGGCGGTGCCCCCACCCCCGGGCCGGCCGCCCTCAAGGGGGCTGACCAATCGAGGTAATCAAGCCGTAAAACAATCACAACTGGTAGGGCCCCCTCCCTGGGGGCGGGGTCGCTAGTTCCCCCAGCTTCCCTGGATAGGGGGGCAAGATGAGAAAAAATGAACACATGGTACTGGTTGCATACATGGGGGTAGAGAGTTCCTCCTTCCTCCCCGTACTTCTGCGGCGAAAAAAAAATGACGACGACCACAACGACGACGACGATGTCGACGACAACGGCAAACACGACGACCACGACGACGACGACGACGACGACGACGACGACGAC